CCTTGGCTGCCAACTGTTGCGCTCGCTTGTGCCCGTGTGTGCACTCCTGGGCTGGTTCCACCGGGCTGGGGGCACGGCCGGGCTCTGGCCCCGGGGGGTGACCGCCGGGCAGGGACTCCGGAGGGATCCCTGCTCCCAGGGGGTTATGCTGTCCGAGCTGCCTTGGCCTCAGGAGGGTTGTCACCACCCTGGTCTCATCACAACCACTAAGCCAGGCTGCGGAGGGCCATAAAACACACCCTTTGCAAACATGAGGCCTCTGGGTTCGCTGTGTGCAGGACCAGCCCCGTCCAGGGCTGTCTCCCTTCCCCCTCGCTGCTAGGACACTGAGCCGCTTTCCCAGTGCTCAGGGGAAATCAGGGCCAAGCCTGGATGAAAGGTGCCGGGCTGGGGGACTGGAAGGAGCTGGGGCCACGGGAGGGAGGAAATCCTGCTGGATTAGAGCAGCTTTCCTGACGTTTCACCAGGGCTTGGTGCTGCCTGCTGAGCCAGCAGGATTGGGCTGAGGATGCTGGTATGGCCCCGATTGAGAGCAGAGCCATTTCGGGACCTGCTTTGTGGGTGATGGAACAGAGAAGGGATACCGTGTGTCATGTGCAGGTCCTGCCCCGAGGAATGGCTGCGGATGTCCACAAGAAGAAAGGCTGGGAAGTGCCCAATGGGTCCCTGACACCAGGAGATGGGCAGCACACGGAGCGGTCCGAGAGCCCCACGCCGGGGCTGGCGCAGGGGACGGAGCCAGGTACGGGCAGAGCTCGCTGCAGGGGCAAGCAAGGGGAAAAAACAAAGCAGCTCCTTGTTACATGAGCGGGGCTCTGCACAGCCCCACGGGCAGGGGTTGATGGGCCCACTGCTGGCCCCACCAGCAGGACCCGCACTCCTGGGTGCTGCGGGATGGGGAGAGGAGGGCAGGTCCCTCACTGCAAACCCCTGTCCCTTTTGCACCCTCTGTGCACCCGCTGCCTCAGCGTGGGGACAGGCAGACGGACACTGCACAGCCCATTGTTCCCAGGGGCTGGCCAGGAGGGAGCCATGTTCGTGCACACCCGCTCCTACGAGGACCTGACGAGTCCCGAGGACGGGGCGGCTGTGGCGCGGAGCCCGGAGGAGAGGCAAGGGGAGCCGGGCGAGCCGACCACCATGGAGCAGATCAGCAAGGACTTCAGCGAGCTGAGCACGCAGCTCACGGGCATGGCCCTCGACCTGGAGGAGGAGATGAGGCAGAGCAAGGAGGGGAAGCTGGAGCCGTCCCCGCAGACCACCCGCCGTGACTCAGTGCTGTCGGGCAAGGAGGAGGAGGATGTGACCATGGATGCCTGGCGCATGCATCGGAAGCATGTCTTCGTGCTGAGCGAGGCAGGCAAGCCCGTGTACTCCCGTTACGGCTCTGAGGAGGCCTTGTCCAGCACCATGGGTGTCATGATGGCCCTGGTGTCCTTCCTGGAGGCTGAGAAAAATGCCATCCGGTCCATCCACGCAGGTACTGCCTGGGGAGGAGGGGAAATGGGATGAGGGGTGTCATGGCCAGCTGTGCCCCTGGGGGCCGGGTGCCCCCCTGCCACTCTGGGCCACTGTAGCTGTCCCCAGGGGCAGAGTGGTTGCTGGAGGGAGAGGCTGCAGCCTGGCTCCCCCTTGCAGCCCTGGGTAGTCAGGCTTACAGGTTTGTCCCTGGCCCTCCCGGGGACTCCCTCCCAAGCAGATGGCTACAAGGTGGTGTTCGTGCGGAGGAGCCCGCTGGTGCTGGTGGCAGTGGCACGGACCCGGCAGTCAGAGCAGGAGATTGCCCATGAGCTGCTCTACATCTACTACCAGATCCTGAGCCTGCTCACTTGGACCCAGCTCAACCACATCTTCCAGCAAAAGCAGAACTATGACCTGCGCAGACTCCTGGCTGGCTCCGAGCGCATCACTGACAACCTGCTGGACCTCATGGCCCACGACCCCAGCTTCCTCATGGGCGCCGTGCGCTGCCTGCCCCTGGCCGCCAGCGTGCGGGATGCTGTCAGCTCCAGCCTCCAGCAAGCCAAAGCCAAGAGCCTGGTGTTCTCCACTCGGCCAAGGCCAAGAGCCTGGTGTTCTCCATTCTTCTGTCGGGGAACCAGCTGGTGTCTCTTGTGAGGAAGAAGGACCAGTTCCTCCACCCCATTGACCTCCATCTGCTCTTCAACCTCATCAGCTCTTCTTCCTCCTTCCGGGAGGGGGAAGCCTGGACTCCCATTTGCCTCCCTAAGTTCAACTCCAGTGGCTTTTTCCATGCCCACATCTCCTACCTGGAGCAGGAGATGGACCTGTGCCTCCTGCTGGTCTCCACTGACCGCGAGGACTTCTTCACCGTGTCTGACTGTAAGCGGCGCTTCCAGGAGCGGCTGCGGCGGCGGGGGGTGCACCACGCTCTGCGGGAGGCCCTGCGCACCCCCTTCTACAGCGTGGCCCAGGTGGGCATCCCCGACCTCCGGCACTTCATCTACAAGTCCAAGAGCTCTGGGCTCTTCACCAGGTGAGCCCCAACAGGGAACGCAGGGCATGGGGCAAGCCTTCTCCACAAATCCCCTTCTCTAGGAGGCTAATGGGGTGCTGTGTTCCTGCAGCCCCGAGATTGAGGCACCCTACGTGCGGGAGGAGGAGAAGGAGAGGCTCTTAGGGCTCTACCAGTACCTCCACAGCCGGGCTCACAACTCTTCACGCCCCTTGAAGAACATCTACTTCACGGGCCCCCGTGAGAACCTCCTGGCTTGGGTAAGGGCCGTCTGCAGGGTTTGGGTGAGCCCATCTTGTCCCATTCAGCATGGTGGAATAAGGGGGTGGTGGCACAACACAGCACCATCTCTGTGGTCCCCAGGGTGGTCACCCATTCCTTTTGGGGTGAGCCTGCCCCCATACCCCTATTGCCAGGGAAGGATGGGCAGGGATCTCAGCAGGGGCTGGTGAGCTCCGGCACCATGAGCTGTGCCATTCGCTGTCCTTAACTCCCCATAGAAAAAATCTACTCGGGGGTTTGTTCCTCCTACTTCTGACAAACCAGATGCACCCATTAAGGGTACCCCATTGCCACCTCATGTCCCTGCACTGGAGCCCCTGTGCCCATGCTCAGCAGCCCATGGGGAAGGGGCAGTGCCAGCCCCAAGCAGGCCACAGATGTGTTCCCAGCACGTACCCTGTTTCTTTGCCCAGGTTACCAGCGCCTTCGAGCTCTACATATGCTATAGTCCCCTGGGGACCAAGGCCGGTGCCATCAGTGCTGTCAACAAGCTCATGAAGTGGATCCGCAAGGAGGAAGACCGACTCTTCATCCTCACACCCCAGACATACTGATGGGCATTGTCCAGGGCATGGTGCCAGCCAGGGGAGCCCCTGCTGTGCCGGGGAGCCCGTTCCTGGGGAAGCCTGTGCCGTATGTCCAGGGGAGAGGGCATGGTGGGACCCTGGAGCACGGGGAAACCCACCCATGGGACTGTCCAACCTGGGTGTTAGAGACAGGGTGCACAGCTAGGGGAAGGAGTGAGCAGTACTTTCATCTGCAGACTGCCCCCAACTGGGGGAGCTGCCCTTTCTCTGTGGCCCCCAGCTCCATCCCTTGTTGTGAGGGTCCTGGAGCGGGGCTGCTGGTGCCCCAGGTTGCTGGAGGGGAGCTAAGCCCCTGTGCCTGGCACCCTCCTTTCTCTGCCATCCTGTGGCTGTGCCAAGGGTGGGAGTTCACAGAGGAGATGTGGCGGCGCTCAGGAGACCCCTGTGCTGCTCTGCCTGCAGATAGTGGGTGACACCACCCAGGCAGGGGACAGGGCTGGCCCAGGCATGCACTGCTCTTCTCCCAGCCATGGGGGAGCCGGGCCCCCCAAGTGCCAGGCAGCCCCGGAGCCCTGCCCTGACAGGTTTGACCCCTTAGTATCTGTGTGAGCCCAGACCCTTCCCACCATGGCCATGGGAAGGACGTCCCTGGGGACACTGGTCAGTAGTGTGTGGGTCAGCTGCCCCACTGGGACAGCAGGGTCCTGCCCACCTCCCCATGGGGACACAGAACAGCCCCAGAGAGACTCAGGGTACAAGGGTGCCCATTGGGGTGCTTGTAGTGCTGGCTCCTGGGCAGCATACCCTAAAGGGGTGTCTCAAGTGCAGCCTCTTGGAGACCTGCAGGCACTGAGCTCTGGTGTCCTGCCAGCCTAAGGAGGGTCTTCCCCTTGGCACAGGGGAACCTGCCCCCCAAACTAGCCCCTCGAGCCAGCTATGCTGAGCTTGCTGCATGGGGGCCAGCTCCTCCTAGCCATCCCCAGGCACTGATGTGGGGCTGAGTGGCCCTGAACACCAGACACAGCCTGACCCCGTGTTTTGGGGCTGTTTGCTGAGCACTGGGACGAGTGTTCAAAAGAGGGGCAGAGCCACCGGGGTGGCAGCCAGATTAGGAGGGAGCTGGGAAGGACCCGGCAGGGCTAGCACAGGGACTCCGCTCCTGTATTTATGCTCCTGCCAGAGTGTAACTGCTTGTCTTTGCTCATAAACATTATCTGGACCCTAAGTCAAGTCTTGAAGTCTCATTCTTGTGTGATCACTTCAGGGAGGGAGTGGTGTTGGGCAAATGGCCAAGCTGGGGTGGGGGGATTTGGTCCAAGTTTGGGTATGGTGTGATCCAGCCCCCAGGGACACACCGGGGTCCAGAAATCTGCCAGGGAGCAGTGGAAGGCTTGTGGGGCCATGCTGGTGGGACGTGCTGGCCAGGACCAGCTCATGTCGAAACCGAGCAGGAGACACGCAGCCGGAGGAAGGAGCTGTTGGGCAAGGCACGGGGCAAGGGCCTGTCACAACGAAGGGCAGCAGCCGGGGAGGGCTGGGGCTAGCCAGGTGCTGAGGGCAGGGGAGCCTGTTTCCGGTGTGTTCAGAACCTCCTGCGACCAAAGTCCCTCTGGGAGCGCAGGGCAGCGCCCTGCTTGGGTGGAGGAGAAGTCCCTGTGCACAGCTGGGCCCACGGCCCCAGGGGAGCGGGGCACTTGGCAGGCAAATCCCTGTGGTGTATCAGGATACAAAGCATCTTCCTTCAGCCC